GCTGAGGAATATACTAAATAGCAACGTTTAGCCTAAAAAAGCCAAGCTTTGACTATACACAAGTCAAAGAATTGTTTGAATGTAAATTTTTTTCATTAGGATTTCAAATTGCTGAAATTCAGAGTTTAGGGAATACATTCCATAGTATTACCGGATGGCAGAATGCCAAGCGTCTGTTTACTCAGTATTTAAACTATAGCAATACAGTGTGAATTGTGAGGAGTTCAAGGTCAATTAAAACAGGATTATTCACTAATTACTGGATTTTGGTAAATTCAATGTGTTAGCCCCCAATGGAACCCTTCCTATGGGAATATCATTTGGTGATCTTTGGACAACATCCGATCTCACTGTCTCGTCGGCACTGTGAACTCATAAGATTGATGCATGTTTGTTCCTGATTTCTTTCCCTTTCCTGAAGTTTTTAGTCAACACTTTCATTTTACTGTATTCTCTTACAAACATTCTACCTGATTTTTTTTTCTGTCCACCAATTCATTAAAATACTTATTTACCAAATTTTTCACTCTAATCGATTTATCGTGATGCTCTTTGTACTTTCACTCTCCTTATAATACTATTTTAAAAAAAAAAAGTAAAAAATGCATATAGGGATCAAAAAGAGACACCCCACATGGATTTACGAATACAGGGAGGAGACAGAGATTTTATGTAATACTGGGGAGGCCTATTTAAAAGTAGATTTTTGGGGAAGCATGGAGGACCCTTTGCTATTGTTGCATCGGTAGCAGCTGGAGGGACCAGTAGCAGGTCCCCTCCTTTATATTATTGCCACCACATGATGCCAATGGATTGTCTGAGGCTGAAAGGACCCATGACTGGCATGCAATGTGTTACACTGTAGTAGATACTGTTTCTCATCCTGGCACATAATGTGTTAAACTGTAGCAGAAACTGTTTCTCACCCTGGCACATAATGTGTTAAACTGTAGCAGAAACTGTTTCTCACCCTGGCACATAATGTGTTAAACTGTAGCAGAAGCTGTTTCTCACCCTGGCACACAATGTGTTATTCTGTAGTAGATACCGTTTCTCACCCGGAACCACAGTAAATTAAACTGTAGCACAATGCTGTTTCTCACCCTGGCACAAAATATGTTAATCTATAGCAGAATGCTGTTTCTCACCCTGGCACACAATGTGTTATTCTGTAGTAGATACTGTTTCTCACCCGGAACCACAGTAAGTTAAACTGTAGCAGAATGCTGTTTCTCACACTGGCACACAATGGATTACACTTTAGCAGAATGCTGTTTCTCATTCTGGCACACAATGTGTCAATCTATTGCAGAATGCTGTTTCTCACCTTGGCACACAATGTGTTAATCTATAGCAGAATACTGTTTCTCACCCTGGCACACAATGTGTTAATCTATAGCAGAATGCTGTTTCTCACCCTGGCACACAATGTGTTAATCTATAGCAGAATGCTGTTTCTCACCCTGGCACACAATGCATTAATCTATAGCAGAATGCTGTTTCTCACCCTGGCACACAATGTGTTAATCTATAACAGAATGCTTTTTCTCACCCTGGCACACAATGTGTTAATCTATAGTAGAATGATGTTTCTCACCCTGGCACACAATGCATTAATCTATAGCAGAATGCTGTTTCTCACCCTGGCACACAATGTGTTAATCTATAGCAAAATGCTGTTTCTCACCTTGGCACACAATGTGTTAAGCTAGAGCAGAATGCTGTTTCTCACCTTGGCACACAATGTGTTAATCTATAGCAGAATGCTGTTTCTCACCCTGGCACACAATGTGTTAATCTATAGCAGAATGCTGTTTCGCACCCTGGCACACAATGTGTTAATCTATAACAGAATGCTGTTTCTCACCCTGGCACACAATGTGTTAATCTATAGCAGATACCGTTTCTCCATTCATTCAGAGTATTTTGGTTGTAGATAATGCACTGTAATGATTTAAATCTTGTACAATGTTACTCGCTCTTAGGGGGAGAAGTTGGTGCTGAGACGAGGTTTAGTAATGAGTAGCTCTGCTCCCATTCTGCTTTGTCTCCATTATTTAAATTTAGGAGGCATTTGAACTGAGATACTGCTGCTGCGCTTGGACTCCAGCTGCTTACAAATGATAAATGGATTGCAATCCTGGCTGTGCAGTGAAGTTGGTTGGACTAACCTAAAAGTCTGATGATATATGAATCACACTTTCCTTATAATGGATGAAATGAAGGTTTGCAACTGTGTAATGTAGAAATTACAGGCTACGCGTACAATGCGCCACCCTTTCAACTTCAGATTCTATTGCAATTTAACTTCACCCGGCTGCCTCCATAGATCGGGAAGTTGCTGTGTAAATGCTTAAAAATACAATTATTTCAGTGTAAACTGAGGCATCAATCATTGAAATGGCATTTATGGATTATGGAATTTAGAATGAAAGCTTTATTAGACGTGTCACCCAGAGGATAGAATGAATACAATATTTCCTTATTGGACAAACATCATCAACGGAGCGGTAACACTGAAATACAGGATGGCGGGTGGATTCCCTCCGTGAATAACATCACTTTTTAGTGAAGTAAATGTAGAAGGTCGGCTCGTGGGATTCACATGCTAAGGGGGCTTATTCACTTAATCAGTTATTTGTTAGGAATTGATAAAGAATGTGCACATTTTATGCCAATATAGAAGAGGTTCCCATGTCAATGCTCCACAATGTGTCAGTTTACTGAATAAACCAGCGCATTGAGCATTCTTTAGTCAAATGTGATAACAGGCAGATAAGACCATATGTTCGCCATATGAGGGATTCAGTATGCTGACCAATGATGCTTTAAAGGAGCACTTTAATGTTAGGACCCCACCGGCCTTGAAAGTGTTAAAGAAAACTTTTCATTTACTCATCCAATTCTAGTGCTGATGTCCTTCAGCATTTGGTCGCTTCCCTGCCAATGTAATGTGCACATTAGGCTTTGCACCCAGAGCACTTCAATGAAATGAAGTGGTGTGGGTGCCCATCGTATTCCTAAATTAAGTGATAGGGTGCTGTAGGCCCAGAGGCACTTCTTCGTGAATACCTTAAGTTATTAATTTATTATCAGACCAGATAATCCAAATGAAAGTGGCTGTGTTTTTTTTGTTTTTTTGTTTTTTTGTTTTTTTTTAAACACAGAAAAAACAAAGCAGTAAAGGTATTGGGGGTACTAGTTACATAGCATTTTGTTTAGTCACAGAATAAATAAAGAATAAAATAAAAATGATCCTGCCCCTCCAATATGCTGCCTTAGATTCATGTCGTTGATTTATTCCCCGACACTGACTGACAGTCTGTACCTGGGATAAAGGAGAGGCCTTGCAAATGCTGCAGACAACAGATCTGCAGGTATTGTAAGCTGTTTCATATACCTGAAAAATATATTCTTTGGGATTATATCTACTAAATTTAAAAAAAAAAATGTATTTGAAAGCATGGCTGGGGTCTGTCTCTCCAGTAGCCACTGTGTTAATCTTGCCCTAAGTTTAATATTATGGATAATCCATTATAAGGGCTGAGTACAAATGTTATTCTGTATTTGGCATCCAATTTATCTTGTGAGAATTGGGCCAGAGGGAAGATGTAACCCCGTGCCGTCTCGCAGAGAAAACAGATACTTTCAGACGCGCACTCAGTGATAAAGAGTATCACAAAGAGAGAAACTGGTATATTGAAGTATGATGGGAGATAAATGGCCAAGACAGTGCGTCCAGACTTTCCCTGTAATGAAGCATTGTGCTCTACGTTGCTGGAATCATTTTTACTGCATTCCAATAAAACCATCCACATAGTTTATGTACTAAACACCAAATTGTAGAATATTGGAAACCGAAAATACAAAATTTAGACTATAATTGTTGAGATGTGGCTATAGTTAAGTTGGAAGGTTTTTCGAAATCAGCATTATTGTGCCTCGGCCTATAATCACCTGGTGTCAGGTGCAGTTTGAATTTATTGAACAGTAAGTTTAAGCAGGCACACGGTTGTAAACTGAGGATGCACGGATGGGAATCTGCCATGTGTTTCACTTTTCTATATTAACTTGTATAAAGCACTGCTTTTGAAAACTCCATAAGGAAATTAATAAAAAGTAGTTAATCTGGTAAATATTTCTTTGTAAAATAAAACATATATAAGAAGTATCATTTTCTTTCTGAAATGTTTTTTTCCATATTGGGAAATGCTTTCTGCACGAATCACTGACTTGTCTTAAGACTTGGGTAAGTCCCCATTTTCTGTTACTTTGACCAATCTGCCATAAACTGTGTTTGTTTTCCTTCCCCTAACTGGTTAATTTATTTACAAGGTGAAGCAACTTATTTTATTTAGCAAGGATTAAAGGCTTCTTTACATTGTTCAAAATCCGGTTCTTATTAATATTTATTTTATCTAATTTTTGCCAGTAAAGGCCTCTGCAGTTTGATCTATTTGACTATTTTCCTACTCGATCAGTAAGGGACAGGAGTGTACCCAATGAACCCAATCTCCCAGGCAAGTCCTTCCTTACTGGGTGTGGGAGTGAGGAAGGGAGCCTGTACAAACTGTACAACATTTAGCAGAGTTATTTACTAAAATTAGAATTCAAAATGGATTCAAAGCGATTTTTTTTGAAATTTGAAATTCACTTTGAATTCTCACTTTAGTGAGTACAGTAGGTATAAAGTCTTTAGCCCGCTATACTTCTCTAAACATGGATACAGTAGTAAATAACCTTTAGATCAAATCTCAGCTACAAAAAGCAGATTTATAGTGTTTGTTTTATATAACTATAATTGATATTAAAAGGGAGTAGGTGAATCTGTCGCAGTTGCAGTGATATACCACTCTCTGATTTTTGGTGTTTCAATTCTCTACAGGTACCAGCTTAGAGGTAAAACAATCCCATATTGAAACCATTTAAAGACTCAAACATAAAAGCAGACCAAACACTTTATTTGGTATTTTATTTGTTTTGCCCGAATAGAAAGTCAAGGGGAACACTTGTGATTTCCGATTAATGCCTTCTTTTTGTTCTATGGAAGTTTTCTTCTAGCCGAGAATGGTGGCCTTTCATACTCTGTAGTCTGCGACATTGATCTTCAATACATTGGTATGGCTTCTCTTGTTAAGGCAACATAAACCCAGTACAGTCCCAAAATGTCTATATTCGTATCTATTCATTCTATTTACTCTGACTTAAAACCTCCATTGTTCTCTTTCAGATTTAAAAACCTTCTTCATGGTCCTCAAATCTTTACCTAGGTCATGGCAACCGATTTGCAGGATTCTTTTTAAGCCATCTCCTTGTTTTCAATAATGACCAACCAGCAAAAGGGTGACATTTTGTTGGAATTATGGTGTAAGAGAAGGAATTCTCCACCAATGAGCAACTTGGAAGATTGTGATGTTTCAGAGCCGAAAAATAACTTCCAAATAAACAAGGTGATATTATACATAAGGATGTGATATTTTGTAACTACTGCAGCCTAATAATGGACAGATATAATAAATACATATATATATTCTTGGCTAATCTGTTTAAATGAGTAAGTATTTTAGGATACATTTTTAAAACAATTTAATATTACGAAAAATATTTGAATTTTGTGATCCTTTGATATATTCTGATGTATTGATTTTTTTTGTATGATAAATGTTTTTGTATGATAAATGTGTGCTATTTATTATAAAAAAAAAAAAATCATTTGAAAAGCTTATTCAAAAATATGAAATCATCTGAAAAAGTTTATCCAACAAAATTAAATTGTGGCGTTGGTCTGAAAACCCAAAACAAACCAATTACAACATGTTTTGAAAGCTTCCCGGGCAAGCTTCCAGTCTTTTTTCTTAACATGATACATTTGCTCTGAAATGTTGAAATTATTGACCCCAATCCGTAAAAAAACTGAAACTAAATAAAAGAAACAGCACAGACATTTTAATTCTGCAAATGCAGTAATACTGCTTTATTGATTCAAAGGTCTCGGAGTTATAAAATATAAAACAACATTAAGTCATCTAGTCACCCTATAATTACCCTATTAAAATCCAGCAATCCTCGTTAAGGTGATGACTGCTAAGCTACGGGTGTGTTAACACTTTGTACGTTAGTGGAGCATGCGCACGCTGGCACATGAAGGCACATGAGCCTCCATATGGTGTAGTAATGGGATTGTGGCTGCATTTTGCACTGACAAAGCTTTGTGGTGGAATCTTTTCTCAAATGGAGAATATGTTACTCGCATTTTCATCATCTAAAGGGTTAAACCTCTGTATGACAGCAATTAAACAGAACTCTAAAAGGAGTCAGAAGTTGTGCAAAGAACTTTCTCCAACTGTCAGCACGGGTCCTAGACTGTATCCAAATTTCATCATAAAGTCACAATCAGCGTTATTCACTAAGCTGAACTGTTCCCTGGAAAATTGCAGATGTTAAGGGCAGACTAGTTTTATTAGAGACCATAAATAAGTTGGAGAATTTGTTTAGTTTAACTACAATTTGTAACTCGCTGACGGATTCCTGAATAATTCTGAACTTGCCCGTGGACCAGTATCTTTAGATAGTATTTCTAACAGAACAAAAAAGAAAGAGGAATCTGTTCCTAATGCCGATATCGGATACACACAAATGGTTAAAAATCTAGAAGATACTTTATTAATAAATAGAAAACGTATATTTGAAAAAAAACCCGGCAATGTTATGTTTTCTATTTTTTCAGATTTATGTTTTCTATTTATTAATAAAGTATCTTCTAGATTTTTAACCATTTGTGTGTATCTGATATCGGCATTAGGAACAGATACCTCTTTTTTTGTTCTGCAATTATTGAGGGTTACCCCCTACTCTGTTCCTATAGACACTAGGACATTGATGTTCTGGCCATTTTTCAAAATTTACTACGTATTTCTAACAGAGTTCTATCTGCCATATTACTATAGCAGTGCATCATTTAGTAATAATAATCATAACGTTTATTGCTGTAGAGTCGAGCAGAGGGATAAATAGTGTTCGAATATATTGATATAATATATCTTTGCTATTACGTATTTATGCTAAAACCAGGGCCAGTCCTACACAGATTGTGTAATGTCAGTAAACGTCACTCAGAACCAATGGATGTGTCTCTCCAGGTACGGCTATTGCTGAAATTATTTTACGGAAATCTACCACCCATAATTCTTAGTGTAGCCAGTAAGTCATCGAGCTAAACCGCAGTTGGAGAGCTGCCTGTACCATGACATCATGTTAGGTCAATCTGTGTAACTCTAAATCTTGTTAGAGACATTAAATCTTGGCCAGAAACAACCCAAGTTTGAATCCCAGCAAAAATAAAAGTGTCACGGGCAAGTGTTCCAGCGCTAAATGACTTATTCGGGGCTGATAATGTGTGAATTAAAGACTGGTTCATAATGAGAAACCACAGAGGATCATATCACTTGAAAATCGCAATCACCTCTGATATCAAACATTACACCTCGATTAGTAGCAATTATGTTAAAGAAAAAGGTCAAAGCTGCCTTCAAGGTCATAGAGTTTGACTTGTCAATAAAAATGTGTGGATGACAAGGAGTGCTAACATTCTATCTGCACTCTGAGCTATGGAAGTCTCTAGCAAAGACATAGGTTAAATGTTATGATCACTGAATGTTTGGGCCTGTACGAGCACTCGTTCACTTCCAGGATGGTAATTTCATTATCGGCTTTATGGGAATATTTGAATGCACATATACCCACCATACTTGCCATACCCATACCTCTAGGCTGATGGTACAAATATATAAGGTAAAATAAACACATTGTATATATACATTGCTGGCACTTTGGTTAAAACTGTGTATAAATGAAATCAGATCCTTTAAACATGTCATGTAGTGTAAGTGGATAGATGGCTTAATTAGTCTGATAAAACACACTGCTCAAATTACTGCTATACTGGGAATATAGCGAACTAGACCTCTTTCACCGAATATCCTTTTATACTGACACTCGGAGGTCAAAGACTTTACTCCTAAATCTATCAAACAGCGCTACATAATTACTTTCAAAAGATGTTTTTGGATGGAAAACCTCTTAGTTAAAAATGTATCAAATCTGTAAAAAAAAAATCCTATTGCTTCACAAAATAAAACCACAAAGTCATATTTATCAAGCTGATATGTCTCCAGTGAATTTCTCCATAGATTCATATAATTATGTCTTGCTTGCTGTACATTATTCACGGTTTAGTATATCTGATAAATGATTATTTACCCAATATTCCTCGTTAAGATTTTTTTTTAATGGCGATGTTGTGCCAAGGTTACTTTACACTCTTAGTTTCTATTGGCTGAGACAGAAACCTACTCCTAATTGGCTACATTATGTGTTAATGACCTTGAATGTAACAGAATTGTCGGCAATATTCCTATGGGGGCTTATTCACTAAAAAGACAATTTTACAGAATTTTGCAATTTCCATTTCATTTCATTGCAGTTCAGTGCATAGTAAATAGATTATTGTCTAGTCATTTTAGATGAGAGCAAATTTTTGAGTCATCATCAGATCTGTGTATTTTTCATTTGTAAGAAATATTGTATCAATACACTTGTATCAGCCATAGCAGTGAAGGAGCCTGCATTACATGCATTATGGAACATGTGTGTACATATTATTAATTCATATGTTTTCAAGTATGTAACATGAGATATTTCTAACGTGTCACCTCCTTCTCTTTGTGACATTTCTGTGCAGCCCAACATGTGAATAAATTGCTCCAATGATACATACTTAATTAGCATATGATCATGCAAATGAGAACAAACTATAAAAGTATAACAACTATAAAAAATATGATTTGACAAAGTATTTTTTATGTTTTTAACAATGTGTATTTATCATTCCTGTGTTGGCTGTTCCCTTCAATACATGCGGTCGTGGATTTAAACAATGATAGCATTAATGATAGAAGCAACCTTTCGAGTTTGGCACCTTCGCTGGCTGAGAGTGCCGTAGCATGGATTTTCTATCTGTGGGCATATTTATGACATCCCTGAATAGTGAATAGCCAATAATTATGTCCATGTAGATATTCTCGCATTTACCAGCATCCAAACAGCTGCTGCTTGGTTCTACCATATTTTACTAGTAATTGTATTTACAATCTGCAAGTGAAATGATAAGATGTGTTTTAAATAAACTTTAGGATAATAAGCGTTTATAATAAAACATTGTGGTATCACGGACATTCTGTGACACAAGGTGGTCTCACATGCCAACTACACACAGTATACTGGGAAACTCGGCATGGAGAAACCTTGGCAGTGTGGTTATGCAGCGAATGTCAGGCTGTAGGGGGCGCTATTTGCTCTTTGCATCAATGTAGGGTTTAAACCTTTCAGTGCTTTAAGGAAAGATGCACACTCCCCACCAGAACTGAAAGGCTCAAGGTGCAATAAAACAAATAATAAAGATGGTTTAAGCTTTCCGTTAAAATGAAAGTTTCCATTAGCAACTGAGAATGTGGCAATTTTGAGTAGTGCCATTCCACTGCCGTTAGTTAATGGTTCTAAGTAGAAAAGATTCATTCAATTCTGTGCGGCTGTGGCATAAAAATGATCCATGAGACACATGACACTGCAGGTAGGTAGATTCTCCCGGTATGACACAGAGCGAGGTCACAGTCAGGCACTTTGGTGTTAGGACCTTCCGTAGATAGAAGATGCTTTGTTCGGGAGTTTTTACGAATACTGCAGTAGTGTTTTGCACATTAAATCCTTTAAAGTACAATGGAAGAAGCAGAGCTTTAAGAAACCAATCCTTCTGTGTGCTGAAGGCTCAGACTCAGATAAAATATTCTTTTTTGGATTCATCCACAGCATCCTGTAGGCTGGGGTCATTTTTCAAAGCAGCATCTGCATTTTCAGCAAATTCTGTTCCCTTGGCCTCGTTTGTGTGGTAGGTCCCCTTATGCCTGTATAAGTATCGGAGAATCACTACCAAGAGGCAGAGCAAGACCACGACTACGGCAGCAATCACACCTGCAAGAATGGGGGGAAAAAATGCTTTAAAACGTTTTTGCTAAAATGTGAATTCTTCTGTAGTTTTTTTTTTTCAATGTACCTTTTTACTAGCAGATTATTAAAATATTGCTATCTAGCCAGAAATTACTTTGGGCTGTCTTCATTGCCAATTCCTTCATCCACTCTATAGAATAATATGAGGCACTAATTAGGTCAAATGTACAAATCAGTGACTCTGATTGGGCACTCACATCATAAGCCCCTGCTGCCGTTATTAGCAAATAACATGGAGGGCTTAAAAAATAAAAACAACTTCACGTGGTAACTAAAGATGCATTTTGCATTGGTTTGATTAAGTCATTGTTTTACACAAATTATGTAAAAACAGCTTTCTCAATGCCAGAGCTCAATAAAAGATTAATCATATTATGACAGATTAAAATAAAACAAATATAACATTTTACACTGCACTACATCTCAATTCTTTGTTTTTTATTAACATTTGAAGCGCCTCTGTTAATCTTCCAACAAATAAATATAATTAATGATAAATGCGTAATGATGGCAGAGCTGCTACGCACTTTATGAGGATTGCTTCCTTGTAACCTTTCGCCCTCTCAGTGATACGCCCGTTCCTCTGATACCTAAATATTTTATTGTCTTGTCCTTTCCCCCTCCAATGTTTTGTTATATAATAATCTTCCCTCCCCCGTGTGTCTTCTCACCCTTACCTACCATTGAGAGAGAGCAAATCATGTTTTTCTTATTTCACATTGAAATATTCTCTATAACACACGCTGGCCTCTCTGTCTAAAAAAAGATCACACTCATCACCTCTTGTGCTCATTTGCCTAAATTAGTTTAAAATTAATAACTTGTATGTTTACTACACGTAATGCAAAATGTAGCCACCTGCATTTTGGGTCTGTGATAGTACTAATAATAATAAATTGATTCAGTGTGTTGTTAGCAGTATTATACATAATTTATCTATCTATCTATCTATCTATCTATCTATCTATCTATCTATCAAATATCCTATCTATCTATCTATCTTGTCTGTCGGTCTGTCTATCTATATATTATATCTATCTATCTGTCTATCTATCGATCTCTGTCTGTCTGTCTATCTATATATTCTATCTATCTATCTGTCTGTCTATCTATATATCTCTGTCTGTCTGTCTATCTATATATTCTATCTGTCTTTCATCTATTAATATTATTTTTACCCATCCATATCATGTTGGTTGTCTGTCTGTCTGTATGTCTGTCTGTCTCTCTGTCTGTCTCTCTGTCTAATAGTATGGCAGATTAAGAAAGAATGCTATTCCTTCACTCTCTGGGCTATAAGAGTAAGTTTTGAGTATTTTTTTTTTTCTCTAAGGAGTTACTGCAAAAAAGATAAACCATTATGCATTGCACACAGGAGTTCCTGTGTTGTTTCGAATGTGAAAACAGAATAATAAAATCCAATTATGTATTTTTTGTTGTTGGCCTCTTTAAATGTAACCCGCATTGTCCGTTCTGAGATGATCGGATAAAACAGGCTCTGCCTGAGATATACCACTGTTTTTTTTCAAAGAAACAGAAAGTTTTGTGAAGAGATCAAATGCTGAACACATCAGGGAAGCAGCAAATTCATTCCTAAATCTCAGATTTGAGATTGGAGAGACATGGAGACCTCAGGCTTTGCGCCCCCTTACATTTCCCCCCATTTGTTCTAAAATGTTCTTACTATAAGCTAAGCTTGCATCTAATATTAGATCCTAAAAAACCACCTCCATCCTGATCGTATTGGCTGCCTACATTAAAGCTGTCTTCCTTACCTCCGATGATAGCACCATCTGTTCCGTTGCTGGAGATTTCAGCAGCTGGGTAAAGATTAGAAGAGAGGAGAGTTAGGTTAACCGGTTATAAAAACACATAAAACTTTAGAAATCTAAAACATGCTGTCATCTTATTGGCAAATGATTTAATGTTATTTTAACAAAGTGATTGACAGTTAGAGTGTAAGTTCTGCTACACTCTAACTGTAAGACACTTTTCCTGGAGTGTACCTGAGCAGTGTCAATGTTATAGGAGAGTGTAACGGCACCCCCAGGCATAAAAGGGTTAAACCGCCATGTAGTAGATCTTCCCCTTCCAGATACACAGGCAGCTACCAAAGACACTAATCCACCGAACCGGAGCAGCATATGAATGCTCTCAAACATACGAATAGGAAAAACCATACGAATAGGTTTACACTCCTAGCAGTCAAACTGGAACAGCATACAATAAATCCCCCCAAGAACGAGACAAAGCTCCGTTTTGAGGGTTAAGCAGGAACAGACAGAGCTGTGGGTTTATTGTTCTTATATACACATTAGTACCACCCACAGGGTTTTGTAAAACAACCAATAAACACGTACAATACACTCAGACACTCCCACACAAAACCCTCCCCTCTGCCTGTGATACAATTACCTTACACAATGGGTTAATGTAATTATCACAGGCAGAGAAATACAGTTTTTCCACATTATTCATAACTTTAAAAGTATGCATCACATTCACATTTTCAGAATCAGCATACTCCAAATACAAACATATGTCAAAATCATACAAATTGGTCCAGTGGGTCAAAAGTTAGATCAAAGTCCTTTGTGACCAAATGAAGCATGGCTTTTCTGCCCAAAACCAGTCTTCTATCCTGGAGATAATTGAGAAGTAATCAAATTATCTCAAAGGACAGAGGCAAAACTCCATTAGCCACATGGTAGCAAAAGACAGTAAAATACAATAAAATAGACAATGTTACATTTATTACATAAAATACAGACATGCAACATATCCCCAGATAGCTTAGGTCTGAGCGCACATTATTACTGAATGGCGCTCAGACCACACACATACAGTTCAATTGCCATGGAGCCAAAATCTTTAATTACACGAATAGGCTCCATGGCATAGCTATCTGTGTTAAATGAGTTCATTCAGTAAATCCGAGAATCTACCGAACGCCAGGGCAGAAATAAATGAATAGACCTTTCTGCATAGGAAAATTAAGTATTTAAATGCTGGTCCATAGTCAAAAGGCAGCAGGCAGGCAACCAGGCTCCTCCAATGCACAGTGGCGAGATTGGTCTCGTCACCGAGAGTATCAGAGCCTTTCCCAATATGAGAGAGTACCTGGAGCTATTACCCTGTATGAGAGAGTACAGAGCCATTGTCATTACAGAGTCATTACCCTGTATGAGAGAGTACCTGGAGCTATTACCCTGTATGAGAGAGTACAGAGTCATTGCCTTGTATGAGAGAGTACCTGGAGTCATTACTCTATACGAGAGATTACCTGGAGCTATTAACCTGTATGAGAGAGTAAAGAGCCATTGTCCAATAGGAGAGAGTACCTGGAGTCATTGCCTTGTATGAGAGATTATTTTATTGTGTGCAAGACAGCAGCGGAACTACCTCAACACATGCTTGTCAGGTGGCCCTAAGAGAAAGGTAATTCGATATATACTTAGGGCCACCCATCAAGCATGTGTTTCTGTATGTGTGCCATTGTGTATTTCTGTGTGTCTGTGTATCCGTAAGTGTGTCAGTGTGTGTATCTGTGTGTCTGTGTATATTCATGTGTGTCAGTGTTTGTATCTGTGTGCATGTGTGTCAGTACGTGTATGTGTATCAGTGCGTGTGTGTGTGTGTGTATCAGTGTGTATGTGTATTTCAGCATTCAAACGTTAACACTATGCAAAAATACAACCTTGCATTCAAACAATACATGCATACACAGCTCTGTATTAAAACACCAACATTATAAATAAACACATTATAAATAAACACACAGGGGGCCAAAAGCAATTCTTGCACCAAGGCCCTCTCTATGTTAATTCCTTCACAGGTGATCGAGTACAGACCTGTTTCTCTGTTTAGGAGAATACTGAGCTGTCTCAAAAATTAAACTAAGTGTCTTACGGAGTAGCAGAACCACAATATTATTTTATAGTTAAAGTGCTTTGTGCAAAGGTAAATATATTGATAGGTTGTGTTTCTTTAGAATATATTGAGCATCACAAAATGCAATCATAAACCCACCATACACATATATCACGATTTGAGACGCAACAGCTTACAATCTAGGGTTTATTTTCTAAATCAGCCATTGTTGAATTTTTTATTTTCACGTTTTACTCCAATGTTGCTGAACTGGAAAAAAACAGCATCAGCTACTGGTCTATCTCAGATTTCTGGAATGCAATTTGCAACTTTTACACCCAGTTTAGAGGATACGCCCTAAAGGAGTGTTTCACAGTGAGAACATCTGATGCATTGACGTCTGATATTGACATCAAATGTATGGAGAAAAGCGAAATGAGCTGATTCCTGGGTAGGGGCCCGAGGAGCACGTTCTGTTTGTTGCAGGGTAAATGTAACAGGGAGATGTGCTGCTTTCTCCTTACTGCACAGTTACGGAGACGTCAATCAGGCAGTTCTCTACAACTGAAAACAGCTGGAGGAGTTCAGCTTCACAGCCCTATCTCAGAGGATTGAAAGACATTGCAAAGCTTTAGCAGGAAATCATCTATGTTTCCTTCCCATGATAAAGTGTCCAGTAACACGCTAGCCACTCATAGAGCCATGGGTTCATGGAAGCACACTGATACATTTGGTTGCATGGGAGGAAATTATGGCAGTTCCTGGGGAGTATATCTTTGGCATCAGGAGGTGCCTGGCATGTCTCTAACTTACCCGTTTTCTTCTCCTTTTCAGCCTCTGAAGTGCTTTGAAACCATTGTTTCCTGTTTCTGCAGATCTCATTCCCTAGGCTCCAATATGTTTTGATTTTCTGTTTCCTTCTGCTCCATATAAATTCCTACACGCTGTCAAGCTCAGCTAACACAGGGAATCGTCACATATCAATATCTAGACAGGATTCCTTTTTATTTGATAAGGCACTGCGTTATTTAAAGGAAATAATAGCCGAGTCACCTTGCAACCAATGTTTAAAGGGGCAGCCTCTAGGGCAGTCACTTGACGGCCACTAGAGGTCCTTCCTGGGTCACTGGTGAACGTTCCCCATAGTGATGTATTTATTCATTAAGAATAAACCAGCGTAGCCAAAACTGATGATTTCAGAAGAAGCAGAGTGGCCCGGAGTCATCCAAGGCAAATCCAGTGAGGTGTGGGATAAAAAGGTGAATAAATTACCTTCTCACGGGAGGCAAGAGAGGCCTGTAATCTAAATGGTGTTTTCCATATGTATTCCTGACACTATAGTGTTCCTTTAACATAAAAATATGTGATATGTTTATTCTCTGTTGGAGCTACTTTAGTATTTACAAAGAGTGGGTCTGCAGTAGGGTAACTCAGTGTCAGAGAGCCCTGCATGTCAGCGTTAGATGTTTGTTTATCATATGGTTACAGGGAAAAAATTCAGAAAGTGCCCAGATAGCTGTTTTCAGAAAAAATTGTGTTAAATCCAAGGAGTTTATTTACCAAATGGTGAATTTTAGCACAACCAAATCCAATTTAAATAGTTTATTTTGTCTATATATATATTTAACAAATTAGTTGACTGTCTATAAATTCCATTTCTCACTGCAACCTTTCACGACGGGGAAGCACATATACATTCAAATATGCATACTGGCCAGACCCCACATGGGGAACGCCAAGTGAAACAGCATTGCCCTTTAAGATAAATAATATAACAGAACCTTTATTTCTTCATTTCTAAATATATAACTTGGAGATCAAGGAGAGGGGAACCACACTGCGAAACAGGGACCATTGTCTTAGCACTTCATCTAGACTCACATGCATCACAATGACACTTTCTCAGGATAAACTGTTTTCCTAAATATACATTTTATCATCAGATTTAACCTTCATCTTCTAACTGTATTGAAAAAACCTTTGCCATCAAGAAACAATTTCATATGAACTCTGTTTGTGGGACATATCCTGTGCGTAGATTCCTGGCAAGTTTCTCAAATGATGATCACAGTCAGTAATCCACCGATAGCACGCACAAGGAAGTCGGACTTGCAGTTCGAGGTGTAGTGAGGGTTTCACAGTGCGATGCCTCAAACCGAGCTTTGTTCTGATTTGCATTTACCAGGAAGATCGTAATTGCTGTTATAAACTGGAACGCACAATCAGCTGAATGTCCTGTGAGATATCACATGATTCATCTGAATAAGCAGGAAGCAGGATACAAACGTCCCATGCTCCTGGCCTCCAAAGAGCAAGAACCAAGAATACAAGTAAATATTAAGTGTGGCTTTCAAGGTATCAACGCTAAGAGCTTCACCCAGCACAATGCCCCCTACTTTTTCCTGGACTGGTGGGTGTTGATTTAACAGTAGATGTTCCCTGGATCTGTATTAACCCCCAGGCAACATTTTATTGTTTAATGTTTGGTGGGAGGCTACTACCTAATGCTTCTGGCACCAAGGCCCTAACAAAATAACTCCTCCTAAATTCCTGATAGCTCCAGATATTATACACTGTGTGCGGGGAGACAGGGGACCTCCTTACACCATAACCTTATAGCTGCAGTTATAATACACTGTGTGCGGGGAGACAAGGGACCTCCTTACACCATAACCTTATAGCTGCAGTTATAATACACTGTGTGCGGGGAGACAAGGGACCTCCTTAAACCATAACCTTAGAGCTGCAGTTATAATACACTGTGTGCGGGGAGACAGGGGACCTCCTTACACCATAACCTTTTAGCTGCAGTTATAATACACTGTGTGCGGGGAGACAGGGGACCTCCTTACACCATAACCTTATAGCTGCAGTTATAATACACTGTGTGCGGGGAGACAGGGGACCTCCTTACACCATAACCTTATAGCTGCAGTTATAATACACTGTGTGCGGGGAGACAGGGGACCTCCCTTACACCATAACCTTATAGCTGCAGTTATAATACACTGTGTGCGGGGAGACAGGGGACCTCCTTACACCATAACCTTATAGCTGCAGTTATAATACACTGTGTGCTGGGAGACAGGGGACCTCCTTACACCATAACCTTATAGCTACAGTTATAATACACTGTGTGCGGGGAGACAGGGGACCTCCTTACACCATAACCTTATAGCTGCAGTTAGAATACACTGTGTGCGGGGAGACAGGGGACCTCCTTACACCATAACCTTATGGCTGCAGTTATAATACACTGTGTGCGGGGAGACAGGGGACCTCCTTACACCATAACCTTATAGCTGCAGTTATAATACACTGTGTGCGGGTAGACAGGGGACCTCCTTACACCATAACCTTATAGCTGAAGTTATAATACACTGTGTGTGGGGAGACAAGGGGCCTCCTTACACCATAACCTTATAGCTGCAGTTATAATACACTGTGTGCGGGGAGACAGGGGACCTCCTTACACTATAACCTTATAGCTGCAGTTATATTACACTGTGTGCTGGGAGACAGGGGACCTCCTTACACCATTACCTTATAGCTGCAGTTATAATACACTGTGTGCGGGGAGACAGGGGACCTCCTTACACCATAACCTTATAGCTGCAGTTATAATACACTGTGTGCGGGGAGACAGGGGACCTCCTTACACCATAACCATAAAAACAGACTTTGTTAGAGTGATGAGTGATTCTCTTTAGATCAGTGATGAAAACATACCAGTATACTAAGCATTAAGCAAAGGAACACATAATAAAATCAAATATATCTCTGGAAACATTAATCTGTGATTAAGTAAGAAATTAATTTATGAACAAGTTTTGAAATTCATTAAGTGACTAATTTTAGCAGGCGCGGTGGCACTGCAGTGCTAGTAATTTGTTAGCACGCAAGGGCAGGTTTCTTATCTCCAACTGCTACCAAACTTTGCAGAGTCTCAGGGCACACTTCAAAGCCCAGCCTTATAACTCTTTCCCTCCCTGTTGTTCCTGCAGACTACTGATAAACAGCTTAGCTCCTCCTCGGGATTTATCTGAGCTGGGACAAAATAAACTCCAGCATCCTAGATAACAGACATGTTGCTGAATTCTTAATACCTCAGCTTCAGCATGAAGTCATGGCAGGAGGCCATGTCATTAGGGAGGAAAGATGGTTTTGTGAGGAAGAAAGCTATTTCCTCAATCTGTAACCCATTGTGTGCTGGCAGAGACTGATGGGAAATTGCAGAAGTTTGTCCAAGAGTATGGACTGACCATGAAACCCATGGAGGTAGATTGCAAAGCTTGCAAGAACAGGGCCTTGTGTCCTTCTTACCTGTGTGGAGCTGCTTGCTTTAAGGTTCACATTAAGCACAGAAAAGGATTAAAATCACACGGGATCTTAGGCGGTTGGCTCCTCTCCTTCATTCTTTGATAGAAATTGGTTAATGGGTCGTGCCAATTAGAGGTTCTGTGGTCCCTGTCTTACCCCTTGTCCCTAAGCAGCCACCTAGTGTCACTTTGTAGTTAATCCTGCTCTGAGGAAGCACTGACACCTCCCTATGCAATAAATATCAGAGAGATATATTGTATATTATATATTTAGAACTTACTGCATCTGTAGCGACAAATTTAAGCAGAGCCGGTGGGTGTTGGAACCATGTAACACCCACCCCCCATTTGCACCTATGTTCTGGGCCTGTGTTGGATGATTCTCCAAGCAGGTCACATCTCTCTCCCCTCCCTGTAACAACATGCTGGCTTCACTACTACCACGTAAGCTTCAAAATTAAGTGACATCAGACACTCCTTTCAAATATGTCTCCTGCAAAGCGCCATGAACTATCATAGCACCTGCAGTGCTTGCATTGTAGTTGCTGTGATAGAAAGTTGAACCATCTGACCTGGGGTTCTTCTGTTCTCCACTGTCACTGGGTAGTCAAGAAAAGTTGAGGTCTAGTTTATCTTTAAACAGCCTGTAAATTTTAAGAACACAAGAAATAGGACCACCAGATATGCATACCATGTTAAACAGTACCTATGAGGGGTACACTGACAGTTGATTGGCAGGGAAGAGCAGGAGAACCGTCTTTCTCAGAAACTAAAGTACATGCAATGTAGGCGCTGTGATAATTGTTCTAACCAGCTGAAAAATTGTTTACACAGGGCCAATGCAGCAGTGAGTCCGAGCCGGGGAGTGGGTGTTTCAACAATCTATATAGATACTATACATGTATACTGGATAGAACGTCAGTTTTGTTTTATATCAGAATTTAAGATTTCCACAGTTCATTGACATACAGCACATTCATCTAACGATCGCTTGATTATTTGGAATGGTGACATGATCCTATCTCACCCCCATGTGTTTCCCACCCAAATTAGAGTTAAAATGCAGGAGGTTAAAATAATAGGCATTGGAAATGACAGGGGACATTCTCTTTATGGAGACCGCCGTTAAGAAATGACATTGTTTGTCTGTTCATTGCTCTTTTTTCTCAAAGCTCTGGGCACGCTGCCCTCCAGGCCTTCGCCAGCTTTAATTGAATTTAGACTATTAATTTTATGAACTAATGGAAAAAAGACCCCTGGGAGATTTTATACACTTAGTACAAAGAATTCAAAGCAGAATATCCCGGCAAATTTCAAGCAGGCTTCGATTACACGGGCATGAATGACTTCTGAATCGCATTCTTTTGCACCAACTCAAAGAAACACTACCAAAATTGCTCCTTTTACACAACACAAACCTGTTAAACCATTAAATAAATTTCAGCTCAACCCTGCTGTCTACTACTTAAGTCAACGAGTCCACATTTATTATACTGGAAGTTTAAAAACGCAATACTTAGCAGTATAAACTTAATTGGTAGACAATGTCTAAATGTCCAGTTTTAAGCTCCCCAGAGCTGGGAAAAGACCATATTTCACCAGGAAATAGCAGGGACTTCCCTATGATCCTGGCATACAACTTTGCTCATTCACCTGTCATAATCCAAAGATATCTGAGCGAATCTAGGAAAATCTTGCTGATAAATAAACTATAACATATTTAATTCTATGCTAGAAGTCAATAAAATATGGCAACATCTAAGTGTAGGGAAATTGTTGATGTAGCTGCTGCGAAACTACAACTCCCAAGATCTGCTTGCCTAATGATCTAGTAGACACATTTTATCATCATTAGTAAGCAGCCTACAGTTCTCCAAATGTCAAAAGATTTGCATGATCTGACGTCATCAACAGGGCACCTGTGTCTCCACAGCCTCTCATTCCTCTGCTAGGGGTAATTCATCAACAACTGAAAAGCTGTGGGTAGCCGACCTCAGATCTAATCATTCGACAAACAAAAAGAACGAAATATACATGTTTTTCTTGAAATGCTCGATAGTTAGTGGATGAATTGTGGAAAAAAATAGTATGCAATCTAATTCAGTTTATAATGTGTCAAAACAGACATGCAACAGAAAAAAATGATTAGAGCTTTAACAGCCATTGCTGTCCTGGGTGGAATATGAAATATGTATTTAAACAGCTTTAACTGTTTGAAAAATTTAAGGAACACTGACATTAACTGATTTTAATATCTGACTTAGCATAATCTTAATGTTATATCATTTTTTTTTATTATTTTTTTTTATTATTTGCAATGCTTTTTTTTAAAGCCATTTGACCCAGTGCTCGCTATTTTACCACGTTCTATGGTTTTTAGTAATCAAGCACTCTTTCTGCCTACAGCATGTTCGGTCTGAAGCTTCTGCCTAATACAAGTCAGGCAGAAAGAGTGTTTGTTGTAAATAAAAAAAAGCAATGTGTATATACATACACACACAAATATATATACACTCGTCAACCTATCGTTTCTGTAAGTTTTCTTGTAATTGTCCTATTTATAGTTAAATCCCTCCTCTAATAATATTGTAAAGTGCTACGGAATTTGTTGGCACTATATAAATGGCGATAATAATAATAATAATAATAATAATATATATATAGTGAGATGCATGGTGAAAATTTCACTATTACCCTCCACACTCCCCCCAGTGGATTGGTGGCCATTACTTTCACAAGGGCCCCCCCTTTCTGTGCAACGTAAGATCCTTACAATGACACATAGTACACATGGAAACAAAATGTATTTTTTATAGAAATTACCTTCATTTATTATTTAAACCTCCGTGGGTTAAAGCACACAAAGTCTTCCTATAAACTTCTTGGGGCAATGGTCACGTGATACCCCCCCAGGGTACAGCATGCAGTAAATACAGTTAATTATGAATTAGATAACCTAACAGGACCAAATGCAACAGCTGCCACATGGTGCCCACATGATCAAACATGATTAGACTGGCAGACGTGGGGGCTCAGTTGGTAATATGCAATCTCCTCGCACCAGGGGCTTACAATACCACGTGCTGCATCTCAGACTCCTATTTGGCACTAAATAAAGTCACCACAATCTCCTACATAGGGGGTCCTTGTGTGACACGTACAGCTGAATACTTTATTCTCCAGTTCTCACAAACTGAGATCGGTATGAAATGGGTAAAAATAAATAAATAAAGTTTGCTGCAGCCGCTATTCTAGGGAAAGAGATTTTAATATGTATTATATTAGATAAACCATATATGAATCAAAAACACATAAAGTCTGCATCTCAGCGCCATTTCTTTTTCAGTTTATATTAACTTTTAAGAAATTGCAATACATTAATTTACTGTGAGATACATATTTTTTTATATCGTTAAGATAGCTGTGCAATATACTTTTTATGGCCCTACTGAAGCACCAGAACATGTTTGGGATATCTTCGGTCATCATTGGCACAGCCAGAATCCACGCATCATTCATGCACAATACGACCGTGTACTAAGCATTATCCACAAGCTTGAATTAAACAGATCTGCTGCAGTGGGAGGGATCACAGCTATGCCTGTAATGTATGGGTGCAAAACCTCCGGCCTTGGGCCAAATACCCAAATTAACCCATAGCGACAACTGAGCATGTGCCTTCAAAGGGAAGTGCATAACCACAGCCAGCCAATGGAAACGCGTCAACATTAGGCCCTCATTATGTGAGACCTTGCGCTGTGTGTGAAGGATAAGACGCAGGGACTACACACATCTCCTCTTTTCTCCGACCGTTGGTGAATGACGAGGGCAAGAACAGCAGCCTGACACAGAAAGCAGATGCCTTCTAGGTCTGCTGCATGGGGGGAGAACTCCCAATGATGGGAGGTATGCCAGTAGATGGCTCCAGTAGTGGTTATGGTGCCTAGGGTGTACTTGTGTAAAACATCCCTGTTCAGAGGATATGGGCTTTGTTTGTGAACGTGTTTAATGACTTAACCAAAACAATATATAGCAAATATTATAATAATGGAAATACCAATTTTTTTAGAATCCCTCACCAAAGAGGTCGATTTTAGCTAGAAAACAGGTGATGTTATCAGTGCTCAATCATTGCAGTAACCCATAGCAGTCTTTATTTCACGGTGTTAGAATTCTTCCATGGTTCTTGCATTAATGAGAGATTATTCACAGACAGTGGAAGGGATTATCCAATAAATGCTGTCAATTGGGTGTCAGAGCTCTGAGATGTCTAACTGATAAATCATGCTCAGAAACTAGGTTATATGATAAGATTTTACATAAAGGAATATTCAAACCATTAAATAACGTCCGCCGGCAGACATGCAGAGTTAATCTAGCAAGTTCCATCTGTTTTATTTTGTAAAAGGAAAGCAGCACTTTTATAAACCACCTTGGTTACATCTCTTGGCTATCACTAGACAATCAGGAGGGTTTCCTCTATCACACTAAGAGATGTATTGGACTGTCTGGGACATGATCTCCAGTGGGCAAAGCAGAGCTGCAGTGAGAAGACTGGCGCATAACTGGGTTAGATGCAGGGCCGGCGCTACCATAAGGCGGCCCAGGCGGCCGCCTTAGGGCGCACCAGCCCTGGGGGCGCGACATCAGGCAGACAGGAAGGAGGGAAGCGCACCTGGCTCCCCTCCAGCTGGTTACTACCGAGCGCAGCCCAGAGATTCCCGCCCGCGGAGCTCAGCCTCGGCCCGCCCACCTCCTATCCTGGTGTCTGCCGCAGGCTGTGTGGAGGGGGCGGGGATATGAATGACATCATATCCCTGCTCCCTGTGTCCCACACAGCGCGGCTGGCGCCCTGTGATGGGGCTGGGTTGCAGGACTGGACTCCACAGAGCCGGACAGCATGCACCCAGGGGACAAGATTTAACAGATGTAAGTATGTAATTATGTATGTCTGTGTATGTATGTCTGTATGTCTGTCTCTGTATGTATGTCTGTCTCTATGTCTGTCTCTGTATGTATGTCTGTCTCTATGTATGTCTCTGTATTTATGTCTGTATGAATGTGTGTCTGTATGTCTCTATGTATGTCTCTATGTATGTCTCTGTATGTATGTATGTATGTCTCTGTATTTATGTCTGTATGTCTCTGTATGTATGTATGTCTCTGTATGTATGTCTGTATGAATGTGTGTCTGTATGAATGTGTGTCTGTATGTCTCTATGTATGTCTCTGTATTTATGTCTGTATGTCTCTGTATGTATGTATGTATGTATGTATGTATGTCTCTGTCTGAATGTATGTCTCTGTATGTCTCTGTATGTATGTCTCTGTATGTATGTATGTATGTATGTCTCTGTATGTGTGTATGTCTCTGTATGTATGTCTGTATGAATGTATGTCTGTATGTCTCTATGTATGTCTCTGTATGTATGTATGTATGTCTCTGTCTGAATGTATGTCTCTGTATGTCTCTGTATGTATGTCTCTGTATGTGTGTATGTCTCTGTATGTATGTCAGTATGTCTCTGTTTGTATGTATGTTTGTCTCTGTATGTATGTCTCTGTATGTATGTTTCTGTATGTATGTATGTCTCTGTATGTATGTATGTATGTATCTATCTGTATGCATGCATGTATCTGTATGTATGTATGTCTGTCTCTGTATGTCTGTCTCTGTATGTATGTATCTATCTCTATGTATGTATCTATCTGTATGCATGCATGTATGTATCTGTATGTATGTCTCTGTATGAATGTGTGTCTGTATGTCTCTATGTATGTCTCTATGTATGTCTCTATGTATGTCTCTGTATGTATGTATGTATGTCTCTGTATTTATGTCTGTATGTCTCTGTATGTATGTATGTATGTATGTCTCTGTATGTATGTCTGTATGAATGTGTGTCTGTATGTCTCTATGTATGTCTCTATGTATGTCTCTGTATTTATGTCTGTATGTCTCTGTATGTATGTATGTATGTATGTCTCTGTCTGAATGTATGTCTCTGTATGTCTCTGTATGTATGTATGTATGTATGTCTCTGTATGTGTGTATGTCTCTGTATGTATGTCTGTATGAATGTATGTCTGTATGTCTCTATGTATGTCTCTGTATGTCTCTGTATGTATGTATGTATGTATGTCTCTGTCTGAATGTATGTCTCTGTATGTCTCTGTATGTCTCTGTCTGTATGTATGTGTATGTCAGTATGTCTCTGTTTTTATGTATGTTTGTCTCTGTATGTATGTCTCTGTATGTATGTTTCTGTATGTATGTATGTCTCTGTATGTATGTATGTCTCTGTATGTATGTATGTATGTATGTATGTATCTATCTGTATGCATGCATGTATCTGTATGTATGTATGTCTGTTTCTGTATGTCTGTCTCTGTATGTATGTATCTATCTGTATGCATGCATGTATGTATCTGTATGTATGTATGTCTGTATGTATGTCTCTGTATGTGTGTATGTCTGTATGTCTGTGTATGTATGTCTCTGTATGTATGTATGCATCTATCTCTATGTATGTATGTCTCTGTATGTATGTCTCTGTATGTGTGTATGTCTGTATGTCTGTGTATGTATGTCTCTGTATGTATGTATCTATCTCTATGTATGTATGTCTCTGTATGCATGCATGTATCTGTATGCATGCATGTATGTAACTAAATGTTTGTTTGTCTCTGAATGTCTGTATATATGTCTCTGTATGCATGTGTGTAACTGTATGCCTTTATGTCTCTGTATGTACGTATGTGTCTGTGTGTCTCTGTATGCCTGTATGTCTTTGTATGTATGTTTATGTATGTATGTCTGTATGACGGTTTGCCTCTCTATGTATGAATGTTTGTATGTGTCTGTATGCCTGTATGTCTTGTATGTATGTTTCTGTATGCCTGTATGTCTCTGTATGTATGCCTGTATGTCTTTGTATGTATGTTTCTGTATGCCTGTATATATGTATGTCTCTGTATGCCTGTATATATGTATGTGTCTGTATGGCAGTATGTCTCTGTATGCATGCATGTCTTTGTATGCCTGTATGTATGTATGTGTCTGTATGTATGTATGTGCCTGGATGTCTTTGTATGTATGTTTCTGTATGTATGTATGTGTCTGTATGACGGTATGCCTCTGTATGTATGCATGTTTTTATATGCCTTCATGTCTCTGTATGCATGTATGTCTTTGCCTGTATGTCTGTATGTCTCTGACTGACTGTATGTGTCTAAATGTCTCTGTATGATTATTTCTGTGTTTGTATGACTGTGTGAGTGAAAAAATATGCCTGTGGCTTGGGAGGAAATACACACAGGTGAAGATGCATTTTTTTTTTTTAAAGGAGGTTGAGGGGCACCAAAATGCATGTTCGCCTGTGTAACTTAAAATCCTAGCACCGGCACTGGTTAGATGGAAGTACCTTTTTTGTTAGAGCACAGCACGCCACAGCAGAGGACGACCTTTATGAGATCAGTGGAGACCAGGGAGAAAAAGGTCTGGAAAAATGATACCCAGATGCATGTTAGCTGCAGTAATATATTTGCATTAAGGAAGTTAATTACTGCAACATTATCTAACCAACTTCACGCTCAACTTTTGCTTTTTTTAAACACACAGTCCGTAGGCTCCAGGTGCACACATTGTATTAAGCCAGGTATGGCTGGTAAAATACCTGCACAAGCCAACTTGCCCATTTCTAGAGGGCGTAACAATGAAGCTTATTAAAAGCTCACAGAATGTGGGCATTGATCCACTCCCAGAAGTCAAATATTGGTTTGGACAAAAAAAAAAACAACCTGTATGGATAACTTAATATGGACAAAATAGACTTACACAGACAGTGACTTTGTGCTTCATTTAACAGAGAAGCTGCTAAATGAAATTAAAAACACGTCCGTTCTTTATAAAACAAGTTTAGAAGAAGTGGAATTTCCCTCCAAGTATAAGACTAAAGATGCTTTTATATATATATATATGTATTCCTTTAACAAACTCTGATCTTTGTCCACTTAGTGTTTTTAAGATTCCGTTTCTCAACTGCTAGAAAGATTTCCTATTGGCTCTGGGCGATAAGTAAGAAATTCAGCCAAGCATACAGAGAATTTGGCACAGCGAAAGTGGAAAAGTTCACAAAGCATACAAAAAAATCTAAAAGACTAAACACTTCTGCATCTCTAGGGCTCAAACCATGGGATTGAACAGGCAGCGATTCAGTGGATTGATTTAAAGGGGAAGGGTCACTTCTCTGTAAATTACCCCACAAAATAAAACACTGTAAAGCGCCTAGAAATGTCAGTTAACCAATTTCCATGCCATGTTCCATTTTGTTTTAATTGTATATTCAAAATGTAGCGATTCAATTTCAATCCAGTTCAGTCCTGGCACATCAAGGGCACACATTCCATTGCAGGATAGGAAAGAGACAATTGGCTGACTGCCAGGTGTAAAATGACTGACTTGGATCCAAGATGGCGGCCCTCAGGTCCAGGATAGAGGCAAATAAATGTTTATTCAATATATGAGTTACGTAACTATATACTTAAGTTAAGTTCTGGGATGTCGGTTTTAGGTTTAACTAATGATATAACAATTTTTCCTTTCTTGTTATAAATAAACATTGCTTATTACACATGAATATTTATTGAAAACCATTTACTGTAATCAGACAAAAAATGTAACAATAACATGGACCTCACTGTGTCCATCTGGATATGTATTGAGTTCAGATTTCATCTCATCCAAACACCCCCGCATGGTCAGCAGATGCTCCATAAACAAGAGACTGCCCAACCCTTCGGGTGAGGAGCATTTAGAGACCCAGAAAAACCTTAACTTGAGAGAGTTCATTTTATTTTATTTTTTTTAAACATTAGTGAATTTCTGTTCAGGATCCACACCGATTTAGACAGGATGCAAGGATTTCCTGTTTGCATTAGCAGGAAGATAGACTGTTAGGCCATTACAGGACAGATGGGAAGCTAATTGAGTGTGATCAGATCTGCCTTATAACATAATACAGCTTGTGGATATGGGCACCCACAGCCCCAGGAATGACTATTTGGGAGAGAGGGGAAGGCTGAACATAAGGTCGGTGAGATAATATTGCATCAATCACTTTATTCTGTAGGTGCTTTAAATATATTTCCTGTGCGTTACATAAAGTTATTCTGTTACTACGGTGTTTTCTTCGAAACCACGTCCCTTATCACGTACACAATAATTTTTACCACTTAAAATTAATATATGTTTTCTCTTCTAACCCCCAGTTGCTTAGGGCGGCTCTGTTTTTGCACATTCCCTGCTTTGTCCAACAATCTAATTTCCCATAACAACACATAAACAACGAATAATGTAATATAGAAACAAAGAATGTGACGGCAGATAAGAGCCATTCGGCCCATCTAGTCTGCCCAATTTTGTAAATACTTTCATTAGTCCCTGGCCTTATCTTATAGTTAGGATAGCCTTATGCCTATCCCACGCATGCTTAAACTCCTTTACTGTGTTAACCTCTACCACTTCAGCTGGAAGGCTATTCCATGTATCCACTACCCTCTCAGTAAGTAATACTTCCTGATAATATTTTTAAACCTTTGTCCCTCTAATTTAAGACTATGTCCTCTTGTTGTGGTAGTTTTTCTTCTTTTAAATATAGTCTCCTCCTTTACTGTGTTGATTCCCTTTATGTATTTAAATGATAATTTTTTACCCATAAATGAACACTTCAAGAGTTTTAGAAAAAGCATTGATGGAAACTATGCATTGTAACTGGTGGATCAAACAACACTGAGTGAAGCGGGATTGCAACATGGAAGCAAAAAATATATATTTTTTAAAGTTTTAAAAGCAAAAAAAAGTTAATAAAAACCAAGAAAGCAAGTGTTTGCTTAAAAAGGATTTCTCTATTACCAGTGTAAAACAGGAATGCTGGAGAAATACAACGACCAACAGCCAGATACAGAAAGACTACAACAAGCACATTTATAGACCCTTAAAAAGTCTGTAAAGTAAACTAAGACTAAGAACAATTAAGAAAAAACCTGCCATGATCAGGAAGGGGGTTATATTTCGGAATAAAGGGACTTAGTGCAAAGGGTGGTTTAGAGGTTAATGTTGTGGGCTGAGAGCGATGGGAGTTGTAGCTGACAGTATCTTGAAGGCTGATACCCGGTATCCCTATGTATAAACTCTAATCACAGACCTTGCAGCATCATTTTAAATGTCTCTGTGATTAACATTGCTGTAACGACACTATATTCTTTCTAAGACGGCGTCATTCCAGCGTCATGCAAACTGCGACTGACATTTACATTCACTGTTTCAGATGAGATGTACTGCACACCCTGCGGAATAGTTAACATCAAACGTGTCTGAGCCTGGACAATGAACTCTTTTTAATTCTTTCTGGAAGCAAATCTTGCTCTGCTTGCGGTCTCTATGAATCTACGTTAGTTACTGATGATAGGTGTATTAGGGACCAGCATCACTTCACAGGACAGAAGACGTGCAGTAGTTTTCAATGTCATAGTTACTGTAGCTGAATATTTCACACCAGGGATGTGTTTTTCTCACTCCTCCTACATCAGGAATGGTATTTGCTCTATTCTAGATAACGGACTAGAAATCTATGGAAGAGATAAGTCATTGGTGCCAAAAACCGCTCCCTGTCAGTACTGTGTGTCAGCTGTTGTGTCTGTCTCATGTTGCACACACAGGCTGCTAGTAATTGCTGCAGATAACACCAGGTTTAGGATGTCTCGCACTGAAACAGATCCGCAGTTACATTTTGGAAACTTTTAGAATATAAAGGCCAAAAATGCAAAGTTTCTTCTTCCATGTCGTTTTCCCCATTTTGCGTTTATTTCACACACGAGTTAGTACACATAGCGAGCAAACAGCCTGGAATTAACTCCTGGGAGACCAGACAATGCTCAGCGAAACCTTCCAGCCTCAGCGAGCCCCAGAAAATTCAATATACTGTAGTGTTTTGTGCACCGCCTGGCACTCAAAGGGTTAAGACTTTTTATTTATTTATTTAAATATCCCTTGGTAAAAGAGGCTCTAAGAATTGTGGATTTACAAAGTACAAACATATTTCAGAACACTGTACAACGAGACATGCTCTTGGTGTGCCTGACCACAGAGCCTTCAGACACACATTGAAAGTGGACTATGCTACAAAGTTTCTTTCGGACTCTTCTAGGATGTGTTAACCATTCGCACACACCAGAAAGCTAAATGATTACAAATTATAGAGGAATTTGAATTTCTAAACAAAGAATTATCCATGTTTCCAAGAGGATAAACACACGGCTGGATATTGCATCCCTACCAGTCACGTGCCATCGTGGATTCGTCACTGACCAAAGTCAGATATTTATGGGGGTGCCTCTCATGCTGAAACAAGAACCCAAGAGAAAATAAAACTGACAACGAGCCCTTAACTTCATATCTAAATTGGCAAAAGTAACCATTTGGGAATTGGAATGTGCCAGGATATCCCTGTGCCAAGTTACTTAAGCCATTTGTGTAAGCAAGAAAGTCATGCTTCTCATCATTTGGGCCCCTGGAGCAGCGTAGAGGTGACTGTGCGGATACTCACGTGGAGGAGTGACGCTGTAGTTTTGGGTGGCCATGCTAAGAACCTGTCCTGTGAGTGGATGCTCTGCCTGGGGAGCAGCTGTGTAAGAGAGTCTCCCGTCTGCCTCTTGACTCTCTCGAAACTGGAAAAGGAAACAACATGTGTGTCACAGAGTAGCAGATCATACATGAGGGGAGGGGCAGGAGAATTTTACAGATAACAGGAAGTTACTGGGCTTTCTGTACAGGGCAGCAAACTGTGTCTATACACAGCAAGGAGTGCTAATGGGGTTTTAGGCATTTAACTGTCTCACTGCCTAAGGGTAAACATGTGCATTGCACTGAGCTCAGGCACACAAATGGTTAAAAAAGAGGAGGGTAAGAACTGGATTGCTCGTAACGTCTGCTCAAGGATATAAAATGTTACGAATCATAACTCCCATCATTTTCAGACAGATCCAGTCCGTGGACCTTTTTATCAGAGATGTAGGATTTTAAGACAGTTTTGCTGTTTAGTGAATAAACCGCTAATTGCCTAACGCATGCATTACAATTGTATATACTACTCACACTTACAAGGGTTTATTGCCTACACAGTGAATTTATGCAATTCAGCTATAGTCACAGTTTTATCCTGACTTTACCATTTTGGTTAGAGTTGCAAGAACCAACTAAGCACAAAAAAACACATTCAGATGTATTAACAGGACTTATCTAGCTTATTTTAATATGTCTAAGGCACCAACATGTTCTGCAGCGCAGTGTCACAGTCCTCCATATTAGCTCCAGAAAGTGTAGATTTTTACACTTCATGCTGCGATTACACAGCACATTTGTATCACACGGATGTGTACGCATTATTGTCGCAGAAGATTTTAGTAAATTCGATTGAAATAAAAGACTTTCTCTCAGTCCTTCTAACACCGGCTGACAGAACCAGTATGTCGGACAATTGGGAGATATGAGGCAAAATTGTGTGTGACCATGAGACTTAGTTTACTTCCTCTAAGCGTGTGTACATCTGTAATTAAAAGCATTCAATTATAGTATTTATTTATGACAATTTTCTTCACTTTTATTAAAAAATGAATAGTTTCATTCTGTATACCTATCGAATTTCTCCTTTCCCAATCAACATGACTTCCTTTTTTCTATTTCTATAATAGTACAGCTATAGCTCACCCATAATGCATAGATATACTACTAGCAGGGCTATTTACTAAACTGAGAATTTGTTTCTATTTTGTATACACATTGTTACTGTTCTTAATTTGTTAGATGTTTACTGTGAAATATAAATCCTGGAATGTATTTCTCTGTTGTGTGTTTTTAGGTTGCAATACTGAGCTGAGAATAATTCATTTTCTAATCGCTATCATTAACACAATTTGTTTCTATTATGTGTAACTATTTTTAATTTCTAGGTTGTGTAAATTACAATAACAATGACACACCGACTTTATTTTATCAGCATTCACATTTATTTGTAAACATTGTTTAGTTAATCGAACCCTGTTGTATTACGGGCAGTTGTTTACATAACATTCAAAGTAAATATTATGATTAGTGTAAACGGCATTAATCGTAATATCCTTCCCCTGTATCAAATAGGATGTTTAATCCTAACTATTTGTAGCACAGCTTGTCTCCAGAAGAGCATCCATTTCTCGGATCGCATAGGACGTCTCCAAGTGATATTCCGAGTACAATGCTTCCCTAGCAGCTTTTCAGGAAGAGAAGTTTAATAGACGAGCCCCTTTAAGATGAAATTTACTCTTTACAACCTGGGGATACAGTATGAAAATATCAACACAATGAACTAGGCTCTGAGGATTCCCACAGAGGAGGAGCTACGCAGTATATTTTGGGACATCCTCAGATAAACAGTTGTAGCCTAAATTGGTATCCCATGAGATGTTAAGAGAATTTGAGATTACCCTCCAACAGCTGCTAAACCACTTAACCGTATCACTGCCACAGGGGCAAGCAATACATCCATTTCTTTCTGTTATGTATCAGAGAGACTCTGTAGCTATTGTTGACTACCACTCCTATCATGCACAGCCAAGCCATGGGAAAAAGCAGAGTGAAACATGTTCCCTTGTATGCTTTCGTTGAAAAATATCTGCATAAATCATATTAATTAAAAAAAAGTACTCCGCCTACAGACAGACAGCCGGTGAATTCTGTGAGGTGTGACAGCTACCATCCTCAGCCAACCTATCTGATTGATGGGAACTGAGGTCCAGAAGAAACAGACTGGGTATTCATGTGCAATTGAAGGGACACTCTTAGCAACATAACCTGTGCAGATCAGCATAGTGTTTATGTTACCTAGAGTTTCTGAATGCTTTAGTTTTATATTAATTTGTTTAGGAACGGTGTGATAAAAAATTATAAATGGTCTCTGGTTTAATTAAGAATAGTTAAGGAAGTTGGTTACAATGTTTGGTATAATGTTGGTGGGTTTCGAGCTCAGAACCTTGGGGGTGTAGGAGTATCTGGGTATACCCCTACCAGGAGGCGATTAATTATGTTGCACTTTATTTGTGTATATTTATCGTTTGTTATATTGTTCTAATAATGTTTACAATATGGGTCATTGCCTTTATTTATGACATATGGAATATATATTGTTAATGTGTGGTGGGGCAATGACTATTATTAATAAAGCCGTGGACATATTGACCCATACCTTCGAGTGTCTTTCTTTGAATGGTAAATGGGGTTGGTCTGGGTTTTTGGGTACATCTCCACCTGCCCATATGGCGACAATGCACCGGTCATGTAAGTTTTATTGCTGCAACCGTCAAAAATGACCTACTAAGTCCTCAGCGTATACTTTTCTAACAACTTACTTCATACCCCTACTTATACCCTTTGTGTCACTATACCCCATTCCCTCTAGCATGTAAGCTCACTGAGCAGGGCCTCAATCCCTCTGTTACTGTGTCACTATACCCCACTCCCTCTAGCATGTAAACTCACTGAGCAGGGCCGTCAATCCCTCTGTTACTGGGTCACTATACCCCACTCCCTCTAACATGTAAACTCACTGAGCAGGGCCCTCAATCCCTCTGTTACTGTGTCACTATACCCCACTCCCTCTAACATGTAAACTCACTGAGCAGGCCCTCAATCCCTCTGTTACTGTCACTATACCCCACTCCCTCTAACATGTAAACTCACTGAGCAGGCCCTCAATCCCTCTGTTACTGTGTCACTATACCCCACTCCCTCTAACATGTAACCTCACTGAGCAGGCCCTCAATCCCTCTGTTACTGTGTCACTATACCCCACTCCCTCTAGCATGTAAACTCACTGAGCAGGGCCGTCAATCCCTCTGTTACTGGGTCACTATACCCCACTCCCTCTAACATGTAAACTCACTGAGCAGGACCCTCAATCCCTCTGTTACTGGGTCACTATACCCCACTCCCTCTAGCATGTAAACTCACTGAGCAGGGCCGTCAATCCCTCTGTTACTGGGTCACTATACCCCACTCCCTCTAACATGTAAACTCACTGAGCAGGACCCTCAATCCCTCTGTTACTGGGTCACTATACCCCACTCCCTGTAGCATGTAAACTCACTGAGCAGGGCCGTCAATCCCTCTGTTACTGGGTCACTATACCCCACTCCCTCTAGCATGTAAACTCACTGAGCAGGGCCTCAATCCCTCTGTTACTATGTCACTATACCCCACTCCCTCTAGCATGTAAACTCATTGAGCAGGCCCCTCAACCCCTCTGTTCCTGTACGTCGAGTTGTCTGGTTACAATTAAATGTCTGTTAGTCCACCCTTTGTACAGAGCTATGGAATCTGATGGCGCTATATAAATGTTAAAATAATAATTGCTGTGAAGTTTTGCCTTATGCTAATGCACACTGAAAATTCCTAGAAAAAGCACACTAGGAATGTACGTTAAATCATCAGTTTAATAAGGTCAGTCACTATAGAAAGTTAAAGGTGAAGATACAGAAATATTGTGTATTCCTCCTCTTTCAATTCTATGTATGTGTCCTTACTGTGCACAACTGAATTGTGATGTAAATTGCTAAATCCTTAGTATACACTGAAAAGAAAAAAAGAGCATCACATGATAAACGCAAATTCTTGGTGATTTTTTAATGTTTTATTCAATGGTGTAAAAATATATGGTTCCCCCTTTTCTTAGAATGCATCATTTTTAAAGGGACACTCCATTTAATTATGTGTTTTTTTTCTTCATTGTGGGTATATCAGCTGGCAGAAGCTACAGATCTTTTGTCCGCTGCCTTTGTAAACCCTCCCCTTCTAACCCCGCCCAGACTTTCTGTGGCTGTCCAATCACAGAATTCCAAAATGCAGTTCAATGTCAAGTCTTTGCAAGGCAGGTGCTCTGGGCAAAAGCTGCTTTTTTAGTTTTTCTCCACTGAGCTAACCAAACCAGGAAGTAACAGGACCAGGTGTTTGATTGACAGCAAGGGTCTGTAACAAGGTTCATTTATAAAAGTGCCAATTACTATTGAAATCTGCACTTTTTGCAAAATGAAAAAATAGACCACACTCTTTACACATAAATCACTTTAGCCAGTTGAACTGCGTTAGGTGTTTATGGAACACTGACAGATTCTCTGCCCTCCTCCACCCATGTGCTGCCATGCAAGCAACGCTCAGTTTGAAGCACTCACATACTCAACTGAGCTAACACTGCTTTACCTTCTCACATGCTCATATTGCGATGGCAGTACAGACGTCACAAAGCAAAGCAGGAGATCTTCAATCAGGTAAGAACAAGCTCTGACCGAAGAGACCCGTTACAAACAGAGATTCAGTGTTCATATATTTTCACCAATAAGTAAGTGCAAAATGCTAAGTTGTGTAAAAATAGCAAGTCAAACAAAGACACACACACACAGCGGAAATAAATTATATTTCAACAAAAAAGGTGAGTTTGTTACTTTCATTTTGAGCATTAAAGTTACATGACCGGTGTATAGTCGCCATATGGGCAGTCGGACTCCAGGACAACCCTCCCACATACCTAACCCAATAATGCACTGACACTCGGGTATATGGGAAAATTTGTCCACAGCTTTATTAAACAATCTGAATAATAATAACCATATATTCAACATAACATAATAATAGTAATAATTTAACAAATAACATGGGTCATTGCCCCCCATACTCCGCCCTCGCATCCGATTCCTTCTGTTAATATAAAAGGCAATGACCCCCATATAAATAACACATATATATAACATATACCAACATTATTCCAACATACCAACTTAAAGTGCCAACATAAATTTAACCATGGCAGGGGTATACCCGGATACCCCTACCCCACCAGGTTCTGAGCCACCGACAGGACTCGAAACCTACCAACCACCAATGACCACAGTTTTCCATATCTGTCACGTTCATCCTAGGGAGCCTATTCCTTCTCCTTCAGCTCCCTATCCCGCCGCTGTGAAAAAACGGGATATCCCCTAACCATAAACAATATCTATAGGGAGGGTGGGCGGGACAAACTTGGTCAGGTAGGAAATTAGAAGTGAGCTCACTTAAAATGGCTGCCTATTTAAATAGCCCAGCCTACTTACCCATAACTCCATACTTCCTTCCCTCCTCCTATGCCCGCCTCCTAACCCCTGTCAAGGCCCTTTTTTCGCTTAGCTGTGCTTTGGCTGCATGGGGCTACATGACCGGTGTATAGTCGCCATATGGGCAGTCGGACTCCAGGACAACCCTCCCACATACCTAACCCAATAATGCACTGACACTCGGGTATATGGGAAAATTTGTCCACAGCTTTATTAAACAATCTGAATAATAATAATAATATATTCAACATAACATAATAATAGTAATAATTTAACAAATAACATGGGTCATTGCCCCCCATACTCCGCCCTCGCATCCGATTCCTTCTGTTAATATAAAAGGCAATGACCCCCATATAAATAACACATATATATAACATATACCAACATTATTCCAACATACCAACTTAAAGTGCCAACATAAATTTAACCATGGCAGGGGTATACCCGGATACCCCTACCCCACCAGGTTCTGAGCCACCGACAGGACTCGAAACCTACCAACCACCAATGACCACAGTTTTCCATATCTGTCACGTTCATCCTAGGGAGCCTATTCCTTCTCCTTCAGCTCCCTATCCCGCCACAAGCTCAGACCTTGACCCCTTAAGCCGTCTGAGCTCCGCCACCCCGAAGAAATAGCGCCTTGGTTATTCCGTCTTGCCAACCCAGGTTCAGCAGGTCACATCCCACTGCCGAAAGATGAACGCCATCTGAGTGGTAGTACCCCGGCAACCCGCCTTCCAACTCGCTGTGCCGCACTACCACCCCCCCCAACTTCCTTACGAAGCTTGCCATCAAGCTATTCACCTTCTTTCTACACTTGTCGATGGCCACCGGGTCCCTCGCGTGCCGCCACCGCCTCCTCGGGATAATCTCCGACCATATTAACATTACTCCCGGAAGCAGGTCCCTCAATTTGTTGAGGTCCTGCTTCATCCACTTCACCAACCTCCGTTGCGGTGTTAGGCCCAAGTCATTGCCCCCCGCATGTAGCACCAGCAGGTCTGGCCCTTGCCCGCCTGCCACCATCCGGAACACTTCCCGGCAAACTCCCCCCCAGCAAAAACCCCTATACCCGAACCATTGCACCACCAACTGGTCCCTTGAAAAGCCCAGCTGCTGGCCCTGAGCTCGAGCTGCGGCTCTCCTTTCGGCCCAGAAAACAAAGGAATGGCCCACGATCCATGCAACGTAGCCTGGGGAAGAGAGAAAAAACAGATTGTAACAACACCCCCTTATCGCCCTCCGGGAACCCCCGAAAAAAGGCCCGACATATCATTCTAACAACCCCAACCGCACGTACGACCGGAACCGTACTGACTCCCACCTGCCAATTCGTTTAACTACGTCATCCCCCAGACCCAACCTTGCGGCTTCCGTGGCCGCCCCGATGCGAAAGGAATGCGTACCAAAGCTATCCACCCGTAACCCCATTTTTCCCAGGCCCCACCGAAAAACCTTAATAAATTGAAATCGGGAGAGGGAAGACCCATCTGCGTGCACCAGGAGGGATCCCCCAACCGTCGGCCTCCGGACCAAATACTCTGCCACCGAGGCTACCGGGCACAGAACAGAGCCCGGCAGGGCCTGAAGCGTCACATCACGGCCCACCCCCCGTGAATCCGTCTTAGATTCGGCCAGGTGAACCACCAATTTCCCCCCTTGCAGCCGAACCCCGGAGACCTGTAGGCCCCCGGCCGCTACCCGATTGGCACTCACCAACTCGCTAATCCGGAAAGCCCCGAAGAAAGCCAACAGAAACGCTGTCCGAAACAGGGACACCTCAAACTCATCAAAGCAAATTCCAGGCAGCCCACTAACCAGATCCCCCAACACCCGCACCGACACCGGGCGCCTAGTGTCTGGAAACCTGCGCCCCTTCCGATAACCCTTAAGCGCCTGCCTGATGACGAAGGACTTGGTAACGTCCTCCTTCCCATGAAGCTTAAACCAGAAAGCCATCGCTGCCATGGACCTGTCAACCACTGCCGGGGAGGCCCCTTTTGCCAGCAATTGACAGGTGTACCACAGAAACGCGTCCCGGAGCGATTCCCCTTCCGGCACGCAATCCGGCCCAGCCCAAGATCGTT